CCTGCGTTGCAAAAAAGATGCGCCGTTTAAAATTGTCTTGCAACCGCACCTAAATTGAGTGAATATGACTTAGAGTCCGAGGATGACTGTGCCTCAGCTTCAAGTTTATGGTGACGATATTTTACGTCAGCCTGAGACATCCGAAGCTGTTCATGTTTTTTTTTTTTTTTTTGTTTACGGCCTCAAGTTGTCTCCTTCGCCGCAAGTGTGTAGCTGCTGACATTTGTGCACAGTCTTATAGCTATTCTGGTTATGTGCGAGGTCTACACTTCGCTGGGGCACGTTGTGCTGGTGCTGACTGCAGAGCTTCTGCTAACGACAAGAAGGACCCCGGAGCACATCTTGCCATGACTACGCAGCAGCGCTAAGCATTCAGAACAGTGCACGATATCGTTCTTTTTATAGTATGAGGTGCAAAATGCTAAGAAATATGCGCTGTGTTGGGGGCTGGCTGGTCCGACGAAGCAGAAAAGACGGCCGACGGAGACGTACGCGACCGGCGGGGACGCCGACCATCCGAAACACGCGGGTTGGCGCGAAGCGCCGAAGAAAAGAAAACAACCGCACTCCATGGTTACCCAACACACACTGCTTTTATTTTCAGTCGCCTTGAAATCCTAGATGCCAGAGCGGCGCCCCCTGGCATCCTCACATGTCATTCCGAAACCGAAACCGAAAACCCAGAACACAACAATCATCCCCTCCTCGAAAAAGTTCACCTATACACTGTTTATATTTATACTTGATCGATACCAAGTATACTAGGTATGTACGTTAGAACATATGAAAATTCACAGCACGGCACACTGAACTCACACACTGAGTCCTGAAAATGCATTGAAAAATGTACATTGGAAGTCCTGAAAATGCACTAAAAAATTGTATACAACTCGTTACAATATAGATTTGGATGCATTGGACCTTTGCACAGAACAATAATGTTCACGAACAGTAATGAACAAGATTTCTACGTCACGTAGTCTTCGAACCGACGCGGCTTTGCCGCTTCCGCTTAGGGCGGGCCCTTTTGGGTGTAGAATCGGGTGTCTCTGCACCTTGGTCACTTGTGCTCTGATGTGACACATCAAGAGCATTAGAAGATTGTGAAGGCTCTGAACGAGCGTTAAAATTCGCGGTCTCATCAGAGCTCGCAGCATGAGCTTCGGGAGAATTTTGCGGACCAGAGTCCGGTTCAACGGTCTCAGCCATTTTGAAGGTTCGATGTGAACCGTATGACTTGGTGTACTTGAACCAGCGACACCGACTGGTAACTCCTCCCCCTTGAAGAAGAAATGCCTGTGCATGGAGGCCACATGTAACAGTCTGATGCATAGTTGAAAGGCTGGACAGAACGTGATGGGGAAAACTTTTAGGTGTTGAAGGCGAATCCGTATGAAAAATAACAAGGCGCAAAGCATTCCAGATGTTACCATCACTTAAGCGAAAAGAAGTGGGGCTAACCTGGCCCAAGACTTGTAAGGACCGCAATACTTGGGGCACTTGCCTGGCACACGAACCTTGACTAGATCGCCAGTGCGAACTTTGCACTGCTTTGCATCTCGACGGTGTCGATATACTTTTTCATTGCTTGTTGATGAGAAAAAACCTGGTACGGATTTGATCAGGAGAAGACACTGCTATGTTACGAGGCAAAAAGACGATGTCGAGAGCAACTCGCGGTTGCCTACCATGGAGAAGTTGAGCAGGAGACACTCCAGTGGTGCCTTGTGGTGTGAACCTGTACGAAGCTAAACATTCAGTCAAGACTTGCTTAACGGACTGTGCTCGAATTGGGCGATCTGGATATGTTCCTTCAGAACGCGATTAATGCGCTCGATTTGCCCATTGTTGGGGATAGAAAACTGATGACCTCAAGTGCTGAATTCCTCGTTGTGAAAGAAAAGCCTCGAAATGCTGGGACTGAAACTGTGGACCATTGTCCGTAACTATGGCATCAGGAAAACCTCCCGGGTGAAGATTGAAGACAGAAACTCAATGATGACCTCAGAAGTATCCGTATGTGTGAAACAAAGCTCTGGCCATTTGGAATGGTAGTCGATGAGAGAAACAATGAACCGGGCATTTGCGGGACATTATGCAAAGACCGATGATGTCCATGCCGAGTTTCTGCCAAGGCCGATCAGGCCACTGGACTGGCTGCAACGGAGAAAATGCAGGTTTGGCAGACTTGTCAGCTGCCTGATATATATGCAGTTGTAAACTGCATGCTCTACCTGCTTGTCTAAGGCTGCGCGTGACGTGGCATTCGTTCACTGTATCCTGAAGTTCGTAGTGAATGACACAGCGTTTAAAAAGTTGCGAGTGAAAACACAAACTTTTTTGCCCCCAAAAATCCGTGATGCACGTGTTTCAAAGAACGAAGCGATAAGGGCGGTCTCGAGTTCATTTAACGGCAGGATGCTCGTTCGCCGAGGCCCGTGGCGTCAGCTGCATGAGGCACTAGCTCGAACGTTTCGTCGTTCTCGCAATACGATTCCTCCAAATCGCTCTCGCCACGTACTTCATTCACAATGCCCCAATCCTTGCACGGTTCCGCAGTGTCGGCATTATTATCGGCCGTAATTAAACCATCGCAACAGATGTCCCATCCGCTCTCCCAGGTCGGAGTTGACGACTCGCTGCCACAAATCGCTGCCGCAGTTCGGAAGCTTCAGGCTAGGCATCGAGCCCGATGTCACAAAGTCGGCCTCACGAAAACAGTTTCGTGCGCATGTAGCCATCACCGCCGCCCACGAAATATTCACCATCTTCACAGCTGAATACCGTGACGCCCGAAGCGGCAAGTTCGCTGCCGTGGTCAACAGCTATGAGCAAGCGCTCCGCAACGCCGCACCTAACGTGCTGATTACGCTCAAGCGGTCACACTTTCATCGTTCTGTTGAGCGGCAGGAAAAAGCGTGCTTGTCCTCCCGTCGGCCATCATGACCACATACACACACCAAGAGCGAGCAAAGCGCGCACACGCGACACACGTGCCAGAACTCGTGGAACGCTCTGGGTCCGTTTTCAGTCAGAAAACGAAACTTAATTCGAGCCAGCGTGGCGGGCGTCACGGAGCGGTGGAGACGGGCGAAGGGGTTGGGATCGAGAGAGGAAGCAGACTTGCGAGAAAAGGGCAAGGAGTTGCGATAAAGAGAGGGAGAATGCAGTGGGAGGGTGACCTTGAAAACCAAAACACACTGGAAGGAGGCAGGTTGGGTAGCTTGCTTGAAAGGTCCGCAAAACTCGCACGTAGAAAAACTTGAAAAGAGTGCCTACGTGCGCAGAAGTCGAAGCATGGCTGCCTGGATCGGTGCGCGCGGCGGTGTTCAAGAATCGGCGGCCGTGGTCAAAAAATCGTTTTGTTGCGCCGGCTGGTTTGCGGGGCTTCACGAACTTCGATATTTCGCGATTCGTTCCGCCCAAATTAACAGCTGTTTTTGCGCTTCCACACGCACGCGGAAGGCATGTTGAGCCGTGCGAAGTGAGCGAGAAGAAGTCCTAAACACGAAACGAATCGCAAATGATCAGAGTCGGTGGGGTAGAGTTTGCGCGTGCACTAGACGCAGACTATCGGATACAGTCGGTGGCCAACGATGTTGGTAAATGGTCTGGTCACTCCAGGCTGGCAATGCCAACGTCAGTACCAGCGATCAAAAACAGGTTAGATGGCCGAGCGGTCTTCCAAAGATCGGGGCAATGTGAACACGGGCATCGTCTGGTGATGCGGGGTGCTCAGAGTGGCGGGGGGACAAAGGACGAAGGGGTGCGTAACAAAAGCAGTCGGGGCATGGAGAAAGGAAACAGCTGTCCTTCTCCTAGGGTTGGGGAGAGAGGCAACTAGAGGGTTGCGGAGACAGGGTCGGCGTTTAACAATAAGAATGTATGGGCACTTCGCGGATGCCTGATCAGTGGTCGAAAGTGGTTTCCTGGGAAGTCGGCGGACTGCTGACTCGGTTCGCTGTAACGATCAGTGCGCTCAGAGACGTTCATTGTAGTGGGATTTTGTGCCATTGAACCAATGTATATTTACACGGTCACGCGGATATCGTTCGTTTCAAGTGAAAGTTCGTTTTAAGTGGGGCCGTTATATGTGGGCTCGACTGTAGTTCTTTAATTGCACTGTATACTAGCTGCTACCGAATTACTCTTCACATCTTTATTCATTTCAATATATTTTTGTTGCTGTACAACATATTTTTTGGAAAGGGCATTTCATTCTGCTACACTTGGTGTGCTGCAATGCGTGCTGGAGTACATTGGAACTGGCCAAAAGCTATCTTTCTATGACATATGAAAAATCGCAATTTTTGCACAGTAATGAAGCGTCAACTGAACCCCTATTCTGTAGTGTTCACCATCTCCTTGTTGAAACCAGTGTTTTTCTCGAGTCATACATTGCAATGGTAGTAGTCTGAGAGGCAGCTTGCTGCAATTTGAGAGTGTGATGGGAAAGCATATAAAATTTGAAGGGTCCTCTGCCAATTGGATTTTGACTGTATTTGTTTCGGGAAGTTCGAATGCTCGGAACTGTAAAATTCTTGTAAAAAGAAAGGCAAACAATATTTGAAAATTATTTGAAATTTGGAATAGTCGCAGACCCCTCTCATTATTCGATAAAAAGTTCCTTGCCTTCCTAAGCGACATTCTTTCATATGAAGGCAAGCATGATTGATAGCTGCCGTCTGGCTGCTGGCTTCTCTTTCTGCACTTTGGAGAAGCATTTCTGAAGGTGAGATAGCAAGAGGCTGCATCAAAAATTTCCACTGGTACTGTTGACTGTGGCTAGGAATATACTTTTAACTGCTTTTATCCTCAACAGGGTAGCTACTTGTGTGTTCACTATGTCCTATCTCATTTTTTTCCTGAAACGTTTTGCACACAATCCTCATCTCTGGGACTACCACCGATTTAGGTTGCTGTTCTACAAGTTGCTAATTCATGCGAAAGTAGGTGACGACATTTTTGTGGGTGACATATATTTTACACCCTTGTTTCAGGAAAACACTCTGTGCAGAAATAGCACTAGTGCGCAAGTGCCTGAACCTTCCTGTGTTGGAGCCACTAGGTGAAGTGCGGCTGCAGCGGCCGTGCGGCTGGCCCTGGGATGTGGACACATGGCAGTGGCTGTGACGCAGGCGGTGTGGCGTTCTAGGCGTGTCCTCATCTGCGAGGGATCAGCCAGCCCGCTTCGGGCAATGCCAAGGCAGTCTGGGAGGACGATGGGCACTGGCACTTGCTGCCCGTGCAGTTGAGGCTTGTGTAGTGAATCTTGCAATTTTTGTTTAAGTGGGAATCAAATTCACACATTATTATGCACAGAGAAGTTAATGTAATCTTTCACCTTAACACAAGCCTTTTTTGTGAGCACAATACATTAAATTTAGTTCTGAAAAAAAAAAAAAGCTGCGGTGTTGGAAAAGCTCGCAAGTGATCACAGTAAGTTTTAGGGTCTCAGATTCTACGTAAAAGCTGATCCTTGCTTCTGCTTAGACTGAAACACCTTTCCAAGTAACTATCGAATGGCTTCATTAATGAAATCCATTGCCTAACAAATCGACTGCCGAGAAAATGTTAGAATCGGTCAAGTACGAGCAGAGATAAAGATTTATCGCAAGCTGGGATTGCTTTCTTATTCTCTCATCCCGACCGGTTGTACTGGAGCTAAGCAGGTAGGGATGGTACACGTTATGCACATTTCATGACCTTGAGCACTTTTTTTCTTCAAACACCCAGCCTACTTTCAGTGTGATCGCGAGCGCGTGTATGGGCATATACACTCAAACCTTGTTATAACGTAATGGGATATATCGAAATAATGGTATAACAAAGTAATGAAATTTCTCTTGAAAACTTCATTGAAAGCCATGCATTTTAAGCCTCGTTGTAACGAAGTAAAATGACAGGTAAATGGGTATCGAACTAAATGAGTCTATCAAATAGTCTATCAAAAAAAAAAAAAACGACTGTACTGTGTTTGGTATATCGTTTTCTGCGTAGTTTGACGCTCGTTCGGCGTGGCTCTTTCGAAGCTCCCACGCCGACCTTAGTCACGCCCCGCGCGGCTGAGAGAGCCGTCCTCCTCACACAGCCAGCGGAGAAGATTGACGAAGCGCTCAGGGGTCACATCACTTAGAGGGGCACCGCGGTGCAAAGTGATTTCCCTCTCATGATGGCAACACTGCGTCTCCACTGCTACCATGGCTGCTACCTCTGCCGAGAACGGAGGACTCTCCGCAGCAGCTTTTTTTTTTCCTCTCTCTCGCGCACGGGCTTTGAAAGAGGGTCTCTACGTGCAAAGACGGAAAAGGGGAGAAGCGTGGAACAGGCGCGTCGCAGATCGGCATGAGAGAGAGCAAACAATACGCCACAGTCTTTCTTTCCTTTTCTTCTTTTCCTTCTTCGCGCGCCAGCGTTGAGAGTGCCATGCGGGATTGGGCATGGTGTGAGACCATTTTCGCAGCGCGGTATGTGCGAATTAACCGTCGCAAGTGCTTGCGCGTTCGAACTACAGGGCGTTTTTCGCTCATTGGAATATACATAGCTTTGACGGGACCTCAGCGTGAGTTTGAATCACCTGAAAGTTCGAATTTATGAGATTGAACCGAGTTTATTTTCCGTGGCACGCGTGTTCGCGTAGCAGTACATTGGGCCGCAAGGCCGTTTCCTTCTTTGCGTGCTTATAGGTATGCGCCCATCTGAGCATACATTGCCACAAACTGTTATAATCAATATAACGAAATAATGGATATAACAAAATAGTTGTGGCTCCCCTTCAACTTCGTTATAACGAGGTTTCAGTGTAGTCGCTTCCCGTAGTAGCCACAGCAACTATGCAGCTCAAGATCCTGAAACCAGCCAGTGGTGTAAATTTGGGTATATCGCATCAATTGCAGAAAGAAGAGGAACAATCTCTAGCGGACTTTAAAATAATTGGCAGAGTGTTGCACTATATTATTTGGAATTTTACTGTTGGAGAAATGATGCTGGACAGGGTCCTGTTCATGCCTGCCAGCTGTGCAGCTGCTGTAGTCAATTGCATTATCAGTAATCTTTAATTGCTGACATGAGTTCCATCTCACTTTTTATGGAAACTGCACAGAGCTAGATGAAGACGAGGCACAACCATCTCACAATATGGAAAACATTTGGTAGTGTGACTACACTCACTGCTTGCTGCATTGGCCATTTCAGGGTGCAATCATTGTTGTGGGAAAAAGTTAGAAAAAATTCAGAGGGGTGACCAGTATTATGTGGGATCAATATTATATACAGTACTACATGGCTGGTTGGAATACGTGACTATTAGAGCTGCGAACAACCAAACACGCAGAGAACCAGCACCTCTGATCACTTTCTGTTATTCAATTTGTTAAATAAAGATAGTGTGCTCTGCAATGAAATTTTTGCCTGGATGCAGTGTTTTTTTGTGTTGTGCATTGTCAATTGGTCAAACCACTCAGTTTGAAATTGACCTGCGGTCCCAATGACATCCAGTCAATATTATTCTTGCAGGACTTTCATTGTGCGTAAATTTATTGTGCTGCTCTATTGCATGTATGGGGATGTTTCTTAACATATTTTTGTGCTTGAAGCGGTTACCTTTACCTTTTTTTTTCAGCTTGAAGTCTACAACATTAGTGGATCCACCATGAGGTCATCAACAAGAGCTGGTGGTCATGTAAGTGAGCAGTTTCAGGCCTGGAAATGAACAGTACATAGACATATAAGCTTGTGTGAATAGTGAATTTTAAGTTCCAAGCAAATAGTAATTTTGGTCGAATAATTCACAGTTGAACTCCACAGTGGTGGGAAGCCTGCACCAACCTGTGTCAATTGGAAATAATTGCGTCGTACTGCTCCAAAAGGGCCTTTTTTGTCTAATTTGTGCCATTTGTGCCCCACAAGGTGGTTTTGGAACCAAAAGTAATGTTGACTGCACGATTGTGAGCAGATATTACGTGATGGTCGCCATCTTGTACACATGCACTGCTGCATTTGTGAACAGTTACATGCTACAAAAACATGAAATCGGCTGATCAATTATTCAGACTATCGTGCAATTGTGACTGTCCATTTTTGATAACCATTGCAAAGAACAAAGGTGATATGGTGACTACAGAAAGGTGCGGCGCCACTGTGACATCGCCAACGAAAAGCCCAGTGTGTGGCGTCGTAGCGCCTCTTTAAGCAGCTACTGCACACTTGATAGCCGGTGACTACATGAGAGCGCTGAAGCGCCTATCGCTTGCCACCTCAATCGTTGTGCCGGACCGTTCAGCGTGTACGGCTTTGAAGGAACGAAAGCGCTCTTCTTGTGGAGATGAGCATTGGAGATCACGGGCACCGAGACAGGAAGCGTAGCACATGCTTTCATGAGGTGGCACCCCAAACGCGCCCCGTCGTTAACGCCACAGGCTTCTTGCCACATCTGTGCATGGTCTGAGCGAAGGGCGCAAGCGGCTCAGCACGGTGTGCACGTCAAGTAGACAAATCACTGCAGCCAACTAGCCAGTAACGAGCGGCTCCCTGCGACCGTACCCCGTCTGAAAAAAAGTCAGTTTTTGCTAAGTTGCAGATTGTGGTACATATTTATTGCAGACAGCCGATTATGTTCGTTTTGTCGCTATGCCAGTTGCTTTGTTAGGTGAGTATCTCGGACCCCGCAGTAGTTTCGAAATGCTCTTTAGTGTTGACACAGCGTGCCGTCAAAAAGTCGTGCGGGAGTACCAATCATTTCTGAAGATTGGCGAAAAAAAAAGAAATGGCTTCGTGGTGTGCATACTAGGAAATAGTTCCTGTGGCACTCTTTATTCTTAATTTAGTGGTATTGGCGCACATCATAGGCATGTGCAACAGGGGGGGGGGGGGGGGGCAAAGCTAGCCCCACAGCCACACACATTGACATATTTGAGAGTGGGGCAGTCAGCCCCATGCATTGACATGATAGGCAGGGAGTGCTTTGACGAACCTTTGCCCCCCCCCCCCCCCCCCCCCCTCCTCCTCCTGATGGCGTATCTGCGCACGCTTATGTACTTGGTGGTTATAAGGCATACGACGTTGAGTGCACAGTTAGCCCCGTCTCTGGCTGGTTCTTGGCATGTATGTTCTACTTATCAACGAGGTTTTACTGTAACGAACTTTGAATGTGTCTGTATGTTCATGCACGCTCTCATGCATGTGTGTGTGCGTTGCCGTGAACTTCATGCTGCAGCTGGCTTGGTGCAGTATCCTTCACTATATTATGTCACTACATCTTTACAAATTCCTACTTGTGTTTGTTTTTGGTGCTTATTTTGTGTGCTTGCTGCTTCTGTATAAATGTTACATAAACTGAGTGAGGGAAAGTGTAAATTTAAGGGCTCGTTTTCCTTATTAGACATAATAATGAGAACTAACAGATAATAATGCCAGGGAAAGCACAGAGGGTTATTAGAAGTTATTGTAATGCATATGTGAAGAAAGAAAAGTGGATCAAAAGATAACTGGCCACCGGCAGGATTCGAACCTGCGACCTTCAAATAATGTGTCCGATGCTCTATCACTAAGCTTCATTAAAGTAAATTAAAGCTAAGTTTTTTCCCTTTGTGTGTGTCATGGAAAGCCCTGCATGCTCCAAACACAGAGGTGTCTGCTCCGAAAACAGATTTTGCCTGCTCCAATCGCTGCTCCAAAACGCTGAAAGGCATTCTCTTCACTGAACTTAGTATATATCCAATATTTGATGGGAAAAATGATGGGCATGTTTGTATGGCCTAGCTAACCAGAAGTAACATATATATTTTTTTTATTTGAAAGGAGGCCTGTGCAAATGCCAACTTTCTTGCTTCAAAGGAAATGGAAACAATTTAGATGAGCAGCAGGATTTCATTTTCGGTAGAATGCTAGTGATAACCTGTAAAATATGTTGTCTTAAAGTTTACTATTCTTTAAGCTTATAAGCTAGCATAAGAAGCTTTTAAACTCAAAGGAATAATTCTATATGACCGTAATATAAATTTATTTAAAGTGATGCTTTGTGGGAGTGCGTATTTTCTCTGAATAAGTATTTTCACAGTTAGAATCACTTCACTGCTGGGAAATCACCTTCACAGGATACACATGCGGATTAATATATGTACCCTCTTTATTTC